CCCAGCGTTGGGTCGGTCCATATTTGACCCAGCGCTGGGTTACGTATTGGGTTATTTTTAACCCAGCAGTTTTTACTGTGTATGGTAAACTTATTGTCAGTAAATCGGTTTTCATAGAGTTAAGAATAAATTCTATATTTTATGTAATTTGCTTGTGCAGGTGAGCTTTGTAATAGAAAAAAAGACAGTGGCTGGTGAAATGTTTGAGTAGCTGGTAAAAAAAAAATCTACCAGCCACTGTGGTGGAGAAAATGTTTAATTTCCACCCCTGAATGGGTTCCTTCCTCTTCAGAGAAACAGATGGGACCAGAACAGATTAAAAAAGAAGAGGAAGAACCAGAACCTACACTGGTTCTAAATAAATTGTAGCTAAATAAATTACATGTTCCCAGTCTTTTGAATACTTTCATCTGGCTCATCATATAAGATCTGCAGCACCAGATAGCTATGTCAGTTGCCTCGACGCCAGGTAATTTCTCAAGATTATATGACAAGTCTTTTTTACCGAGACAATATGGGTCATATATTTTTTTCGAGTTACCTTGACTGTGCCAGCCCATTGAGGGCATTAGCATACTTGCTGTGATCCATTTTCTTCTGTCTTGAACCAGAGAAATCCACTTCCTGACCCCCATCTGAATTTTGCTGGGCATCCGGGTCACGTGTCTGCAACCCAGCAATTGTTGTTGTGTTTCTTCCTATTGACCAGTGAAAGTCAATAAAAGGTGTTGCATGTCTTTTGTGGTAAGTATTTACTTACTGGAGGGTTTTTTGTTTGAGCTGGAGAGCTACAGCTAGCTCCTCACTTCAGCCTGTACCATTCAGTCCTGTTGTTGCTCCTCCTACACAATGGACTGAACCATTGTTCTAAAAGTGTGGTGGGGCGGAGGGCTAAAATTTATTCTAATTTTTTTATTAATAAGATGAATGGCACATTTATGAAAATTAATTAACCTTTATTTATTGTTTTTAATAATCGGAGTGTATCTGAAAAAATGGTGTGAGTTTATGGGATAGGAGTTCTTAAGTTTCTTATTTCTTCCTCCTCCTTTTCGAACATGTTAAGGTCAGTGTAGTGCAAAAACATGTCTTTTGCATTCCTTGTTCATCCTTGTGATTTTTATATTTCTGTAATGTTAGAAATGAAATGAAATGAAAACTTCTTCGATAATTCTATAATTCCCCTCGAGCCTCCCGGGATTTCTACCCATGATCTCTATTCATCTGAAGCTAAAAGTGCTACATCTTCATTTTAATTAATTGTTAAAGGTAAAAATAAATAAAATCACTCTAAAGGACTGGTAAAAACATTAATTTAGTATTATCCCTTCAGTTCAGGACCCAGATCAGTTCTTTAGGAACACTGGCAAACTGTTTTAAAGTAGAAATATGCAAATAGTTTTCTACACATCCACATTTCTGAAATGTTTTATGAAATATATCTCAATCATCGCAGATTTGTTGTGTGGGACATGTCCCAATTAAATGGATTAGGTGTCTCCAACAGTGATGACAGGAAATTATTCTTTGTATCTCCCAAAGATCCACTTTTCATGAATGCTATGGAGACCTGATGATGCCAAGATTCTCCATTTTGCTGAAGTTCTTTTACACTGTGTGGTGTTGAGAGAAACTCGTCCAGCATCATCTTTCACACATTCAGTTGTTTCCCTATGTGCACAGTTTGATCAGTAATGAATGGGTTTTAATTTTAGGCCATTTTTGCTATATTTTCTTGGGTCCACCTTATTTTAACATCAACATATCTACCTTGTCGAGTTCTTCAATGTATGAACACCCAAAAACTCAACTTTTAAATGGAAAAGAAAGTCTGCATTGAACTGTACTTCTACATTACGTACAGTTAATACTGAATGTATTTGAAATCTTTTGAACACTTTTGCGACAGCTGCTTTTCACGTAAACCCTACAAACTAATTTTATATTAACCACATGATGCTTACAGTCCAGAATCTCCAGGGAAAACCAGGCTGATCCATGAGATAGTCATCAATTAAATTGTATTAATGATGTCATCCTTTGTTTCCACAGACCTCCAACAGCCAAGTGTTTCCAATGAGGAGGAACCTCTTGCCATCCTACAAGTCTGTAGCCTGGCAAGTAGGTCCAGTCAGGACCAGAAAGAAGCAGAACATCAGTGGACTGAAGAGGAACAGATGGAACCAGAACCTAAATGGATTAAAAAAGAAGAGGAGGAACCAGAACCTACACTGTTCAAACATGAGGAAATAGAATATCCACTAACATATGTAAGAAAAGAGGAGCTAGATTCTTCAGTGCTTCAACATGAACAGCAGCCACCAGAACATTTACCAACTGGACAGGACCAGAAGGACCTCTGCAGCAGTCAGGAGGGAGAGCAGCTTGTCCAGAAGCAGTTTGTTGCTTTGATTGAGACTTCTACTCTTCAGGGAGATATGAGTGAAGAAAAGACAAGAACAGAGCAGCTTTCCCTTCATATCTGTCCAGTGGTTGAGAGCAAAGATCAGGAAGGAAGCAGCTCCTCCGAGTCAGAGAGTCAGTCTGATACTGGCACAAAGAAAAGACCTTTCAAATGTGACATTTGTGGGAGATGTTACACACAACGGTGGAAGTTGAAAAACCATTACAAAACCCACACTGGTGAGAGACCTTTTTCATGTGAAACATGTGGAAAAAGTTTCTGTCGAATTAGTGATTTGAAAGTCCACAAGAAAATTCATACAGGCGAGAGGCCTTTTTCATGCGAATTATGCAGAAAAACTTTCTCACGAAATAGAGATTTAAATGACCATAAGCGAATTCATACAGGGGAGAGACCTTTTTCATGCGAATCATGCAAAAAAAGGTTCACACGAATTAGTGATTTAAAAGTCCACAAGAGAATTCATACAGGTGAGAGACCTTTTTCGTGTGAATCATGCGGAAAATGTTTCTCACGAAATAGAGATTTAAATGACCATAAGAGAACTCATACAGGTGAGAAACCTTTTTCATGTCAGTCATGCGAAAAGAGTTTCCGTCGTATTAGTCACTTAAATGTCCACAAGAGAATTCATACAGGTGAGAGACCTTTTTCATGCGAATCGTGCGGAAAACGTTTCTCCCGAATTAGTAGTTTAAAAGTCCACAAGAGAATCCATACAGGTGAGAGACCTTTTTCATGCGAATCATGTGGAAAAAGTTTCTCTCAAGTTAGTAATTTAGATGTCCACAAGAGAAGTCATACAAGTGAGAGGCTTTTTTTATGACAATCTTGTGAAAAAAGCTTCTCCTGAGGGGATAGTTTGAGGAGTCACCTGAAAACTGGTCAAAATGGCCTCTACAGGGTCAGAGGCCATTTTGAAGCCAAACTTGTGAAAAAGGTTTCTGTGAAATTCATCATTTAGATGTACTCAGGAGAACCCTCATGGGTGATATGTGTTTTTCACATGAAACATTTTTTTTTGGGGGGGGAGTGTCTTTCATGATGGTAAACTGAATTTCCATATGAAACAATGCATTACAAGTACATAAGAATGATGGAGTTGGAATTGCCTAGTCCAATCCAGTTCCTCAGCATTTAATGTCCTGCAGGTTTTATATTCATCCATATTCCTGGGGGCACTGGCAGGAATTTTGGGCCCCATGCAGAGATTTTGCTAGACTTATTTGTTGTGTCATTTCAACCAACATTAAAAAAAAAATTGGTCCTGTACTACTTTTACCTGTGAAATTTTGATCATATTATCATCGGCTATTTAGCTGCATTTTTATGCAGTTTAGTTAATATTCACCTAGTTGAACCGTAAATTCAGATCCCATCACACATAAAGCAGATGAATGCATCAAACTTTTTCACCGTAGCGATACAAACCACTGACTGAGACCCCAATAACTTATAACAAATAAAATTAAATCACTCCACTTAAATTAGCAGCTCTTCCCCCGCTGGGGTCTGAACGCATAGTGCCTCGCAAATTCCTCTTGATCGCATCTGCAGAGAAATGCGATAGTTCATCGGTCAGTTGGATCCGTCTGATCCAAACCAATCATTTGAACTCTGCAAGTTTTTTTTACTCTGTGCAATCCAGACGTGCGCTTTAATGAGGATCTCTTTGCGTGGTTTTACTTCCCTGAAACGGACAAATTGTTACGTCTGCTGCGCTCATCCTGAGCGCCGCTCTCCTGGTCGCGAGAGGGTACCGTCTTCCAGCTCCATTTGTTAAAACCGCAGGGTGAGTTAAGTTTAATTCTTCGCAGTGGTGGAGCTGCGTCCGCATTGGTTGTGCAGCGCACTGCACATGTTAAGGTCTAATTAACTTCTGCATCTTTATTTCCTCAAGATAAACTCTGCGGGCTCCTCTGTTTAGACCAGGGGTCACCAACTCCAGTCCTCCAGGCCTACCATCCTGCAACTTTTAGATTCCCCTCTGCTCCAAAATGTCTGAATTCCCTCACCAGCATTCATTCCTCTCTGCAATAGGCTGGAAACGAGCAGTTTATTTGATCCAGGTGTGTTTGAGCAGACGCATCTAAATGTTACAGGATGGTGGCCCTTGAGGACTGGAGTTGGTGACCCCTGGTCTAGACTATAAATGGATTAGCTCAGTGCTGCATTCTCTTTAGTTTTCTCTGTTCTGTACTGGAGACTTCAACCAAAGGTTTGGAATGCGCTTCTTAACCAGACGCCCAAGCGCACGGTCCATAACCCTTCAACACGCTGTCAGCTCCCGGTCAGAAAGGCGCTTTCCCCCCACCCCCAACATTATCTTACTGGTACTCTTCCATGAAAGTGCTGAGACTCTTTTTGCAAGTAGTAAACATAAATCCACAGCAGTAATTATTTTTCTTGACATATAACGTCCATCAGGATACAAACCTAGAATGAACAATTTGGGATCGAAAGTTAGTTTTATATCTAATATAGCCTTTCGAGCTTGTTTAATCTCCCTCCAGAATTTTTGAACTTTCTTGCATTTCCAGACACAATGGAAGAACGTTCCCTTCTCTTCTCCACATCTAATACACAGGTCAGGGATGGCACCATTATACTTATTAAGCTTTTCTGATGTCACATATGTTCTAATTAGCCAATTATATTGCAGTACTTTGAGGCGGGTGTTGGTAGTTTGTGCTTGTGCTTTAGCACACACCTTCTCCCAGTCCTCTGAAGGTAAGTTCTCCTGTAAATCCTCCCTCCAGGCATTGAGCTTCCATAAAGACGACTCAGAGGATCCCTCCACTAACATGCTATATAGTTTAGAGATAATTCCTTTTCCAAAGCAATCATTCTTCATTTCGATTTCTAAAGTGGACAGCGGGGGGATGGACTCACACTGATTTTGAGATGAATAAAATTTCTCACCTGTAAATATTTAAAATGTTTACTTGGAATATCGTACCTGTCCTTCAACTCTATAAATGACACCATACACTCATCCTCTGATTCCACAAGATCTCCTATTGTCTTTAAACCTTTTTCAGCCCATTTCCTAAAACCAGAATCTGCCCTACCTGGAGGGAAAAACTGGTTACCCCATGTCGGACTGAAGCGTGACAGAGAGGAGGTATCGCCTAAATACTTCTTAACCTGATACCAAACCAAGATCATATTTCTAACTGAGGGAGTTTTTGTCTTTTTTGTTTTAGCATTCTGATTTTTGCTGAGTAAATATAGTGGAGTAGAGGGAGAGGTACAGAACAATTTTCGATATTCACCCAAGGCAAAATAGATTTATCTGTAAAATAATACATCATAGTCCTCAACTGAGCTGTCCAATAGTACCAAAGTGGATTGGGGCACCTGAGGCCACCTCTATCATATGGTAGGTACAAAAGTGATAAATGTAACCTTGGTCTTCTATTATTCCACAGAAAGCGTAGTTCCATCTGTCTACAGAGGCAGTAATTGAGTCTATCATGGGGTTATAGTTAACTGCAACAATGTCATTAAATTGTCATTATTTACAAAATCATGCAAAGTTGGCACTTTTAATGGACTTTTAATGCAACTTTTGGAGCAACTTTGCATTAAAAGTGTCATTATTTACCGAATGACGCTTCATGACAACTGTCATAAACATTCATAAAGACTTCATGTTTATGACGGTGTCATGGCAGTCTTGTGCACACCCCTTCAAATAAAGCGTTACCAAAATTTCTTATAAAATTCTGTCGGCAGCCCATCTGGGCCTGGGGCTTTACTTGTTTTCAAATGATCTATTGTTATAGATATTTCTTCTTTAGTTGTAGCTGCCCTGAGATCTGTACTCATTAATTCTGAGATATTGGTAATTTGGAGGGTATCTAAGAAAACATTTTGCTCTTGTTCCTTACGCATTATGTCTGAGCTGTATAGACAGACGCATTTAGTTCAGAAAGACGCATTTAGTTCAGAGTCCATGAGATGATATTCAGAAAGGATTTTTTTATTGATTGATTTTAGTTGCCTCTCTGAAGAACTCTTTGCGTAAAGTCTATAATGTCCACCCATGTGCACCAGTCAGGGGTGTTAATTATAATCTGTCAAATGACAGACGAACTTCAAAATATTCTGGTTGTTTTAAAAAATAACTGGTCAAATACAGAAAATATTCCGTTAACGTGACCTCTGACCCCATGACAAAAGATAAAATTGGTTGCCCCCTGCGCAGTTGTTTTTATTTTTGAGTCTGTCTGACCCATTAAAACTGTAACTGTAAATCCTTGCAACAGCCTTGTTTTCTTTGGTCCAATACTGATACCATCACAATATTTACTGCAACAGTCTGCATACAGTTTGCAATACTCTACTTGAAGCAAGATTAAAAGCAGGAAAAGTAGTATGTAGGAGTTAGGACTGCTGCTGACTCGTCTGTTTAGAGTGGTAAAAGGTACAGGGACAAGTTAAATATAGGACTACTTTGGTACATATTGCCCTCTGATTAAATGCTGGTGTACTTGAGGCAAAGAGCAGTCTGTAGCTAAGGTACCTAAGCTAAATGGTTCATAGTCACACACAACAATCTATCCACCTCTCTTGAAGAAAAGCTGGATTACAAATAGACACCCTTTCTCAGGGTTTCCCCCAGAAAACCCTCTGAGCCTGGTGGTCGGAGCACCGAGGTGGTCCACCGGCGGTCCATTGTGTTTTTGTATTAAAACTGTTACACTTACAGGAAATATAAAAATATTACTGACAATGTTACTGGAAGACATTGCCAACAATACTTAAACGCACAACTACAGTCCTAAAGTGAAAAAGACGCCTATTAATGCTCTTAATAGAGACTAGAGAAACTCCAATGGAAATGAGATGAATAAAATTATCTCTATATTTAATGGAAATCAAAGGTAGAAAAGAAGAAAACGAAACTTTAAAATTGTACAAATCTGTTGGGAATATTAGAAATTCCAGATTAATGGATTCAATTGGATTGTAAAATTGGCTAAAATGTATGGATTAGAGAACAAGGAAGTCTGATCATTGTTGTTCCTCCTTGGCTATTTCCTGAGGTAAATGTAGACATGAGACTTCTTAAAATAAAAAAATATTGGAATTTAAATGAAGTAGGGATAAAGACAGACATATATCCAAGAAACACATTCTGATTACCTTAAATATATTCAGATGGTTCTAGGAATATAAAAGGATGTGTGGGAATAGGAACATGTATACCACATTTTAAAAAATATTTTTCCAAACGATTATCAGACTAATTATCTGTTTTCACAGTGGAAATGGTGGCAGTTATACTAAACTTCCAGTAGATTGAGGAGGTTCAACCAGATAGGGTGGTGGTATGCATGGATACCAAAGCAGTAATGGAAAGTAATCAGGGAAAACAAAATAATAGAAAACATTTAGTATTAGAATTTTAGCACAGTTTATTTAGGGTTGGCACTGATTCTTGGTTCTGTTGGGTACCAGCACACAAAGGTGTAAAAGGCAATGAAAAGGCAGACAATTTAGCAAAGAGGGCTTTTTAGGGTAATAACGGTTACAATTCCTTTTGGAAAAGAGGAAGGGAAATAAATTAAGAGTAAAAACAATAGAAATTTGGCAAAAAAGATGGTATGGCAAAAAGAAAGGAAGGACTTTATATAAAATTGAAAAGTAATATTGCGAGAAACAGAAGCAAAGACATAATGAGATTAAGAGTCGGTCACACCTGTCTAAATTGCATTTTATGTCTAATAGTTAGGAAAAATAATGATGAAAGTGAAGGGTGGAGAAAGAAAATGTAGAACATGCATTGATGAATTGTAAAACATGAGCCTGAAAGAGAGATTGAGAAGAATGGTTAGGAGGACAGAAATGGAGTCTTAAAGAAATATTGGGAAATGAAGGAAACAGTGGATATTTACAGATTAAGGAAAGTATTATTTATTTATCTTCAAAATAGAAAATGTAAAAAATGTAATTTAATGGACTTAATGTTGCTACACACTCATGTACAGTAGGTGGCGGCATAGCTTAAAGTTGCTTTCGATCCGCCATATTAGAGGAGGAGCAGAAGAAGAAGAAGAAGAA